AAAAGTGGGAGGCTGGTGTCATTTTTATGTTGGCTAAAGGTAGATTGTTTTTACTTTTTTTGAAAGAGCAGGAGAGAGTCTTATTTTTTCTCATACTAAATTTATATATTATTTCAGCTCTGTATCAATGTTTTATTAATGTGTACACTGGTAATGCACATTGAAGTTCCATTAAGATAAGATATATACTTTTATTAGTATTAGTTTGACATGTTGTGTGGAGGGTTCAAAGAAAACCCTGGGAGGATCTTGCTTGTTCACCACCCAAATACTTTTCATACGGTCACTAAACATTAATGTCATAAAGGGAACATCCACCATAAAACACCTCCATATTGTCAGTTTCTGCAGTCACACAGTGTGGTGGTGCTGCAGTGTCTTCTTCTGTCACGCTGTGGAAGTTCACTGATCATGCTAACTACACAGGAGCAAATCTGCTGCTTTGAGCCTGAACTGCTTCACTTCCTGTGTGTCAAGAGTTGTTTTGTTTTAGCCCAGAAAACCACAAACTGTATGTTGTGTATGCATTGCCATCGCATTTATGGTTATAATAATAAGAATGTATTTAATGTGTAATTTATTTTATTTATTATTTATTTGACATTGCACAACAAATATGTTACACAAGACAGAGATAGCTTTAAGCTAATTTTCATCTGTAGTCCCTGGGCAGAGGCAAAATGACAGCAGGTTTATACAGTGGACAAAGAGCATTCTTACTAGTAATAAAATAAAAAATAAATATAATAAAATAAATTTAAAAAATAGCACCAACTGAAGAATCACCTCAACAAACAGAAAAGTACAATATTATAATAAATTTCTATTCCAATTTTTTTTTTTTTTTCTTTCTCCTTTTTAATTACTGAAGAGCTAAGTACAGGTCATCTCCCACCAGCAGATGAACAGGAAAATATTGCAATAGTCTCACTTACCATAATGCTAAACTACATAAAGCATTAGCAACTGAAATAAATAGTCTCAAATTCATGGTTTACTTTTAGTTTGCTGTTAAATATAATGCTCAAAAATCACTGTTAATGGTGGCTCACAGGATTAGGAAAGGATTATGAACAGTTACATAAAGAACGTGCACATCACACTTTAACCATGAAACGGAATCAGCTGCAGAACAGTCCAGTTTTCAGCTGAAACTACTTGGGCAGCTAGTCCATAATCAGCAATTCCTCTGATCGATTCCACCAACACTGCAGGAACAAGGTCCTCTGCTGTATTAGCTGCTCCATCAGTGGGGCAGTTGCTGCTGCTGCGCTGCAGCTTGTTTCGTCATGATAGCTGTAATGAAGATCAAGTGCTTTGGACCTAATTCTGATGTCTTGAAGTAATTTCTATCCCCACTGTTTGTTGAGTTACTTGTTGAATTCTCTAACCCTTGACTCTCCTTCCCGCTCAGACTTTGAGGAGCCGATCCCTGATGACCGTTACCATGGCATCTACTTGCTATGCTATTGGCTGGAGTGGGTTTCCTGCTTCCCTACAACAGCTTCATCACTGATGGGACTACCTGCACCACAAGTTTGAAGGTATAAACCCATGCACGGGCTTACAGGACTGCACCATACAGAGAATGCATGAATCTTATAGACACGCTATGCACACCTGGAGAGAATACATTCAAATCCAACTCCAGGAGTCATGGCGCTCTTGTGTTGCAGGGACGTCCATAGTGTTTGACATGAGTCTGACCTACATCCTGGTGGCTCTGTTGGCCGTCATCCTCAACAACGTGCTGGTGGAGAGACTCAGCATGCACACCAGGATCACTGTGGGTAAGTCAGATGGGAATCCGCTCACAGACAGAGCTCTAATTGAGAAACTTTCTCATTATGGGTACTTTTGCTGTTACTCATTTATTACTGTAATGACTCTCTGGGAACCTCAAGGCTTTTCAGAACAGAATACGCAGAGTGAAAATGGAAAGACAGAATAAAGAGAAAGTTCTCCTCTGGTTTTTTATTCATAAAATGTTTCATACAAATTTTGCCAAATACATTGAATTCACAAGGGGCTGTCTTTCAAGAGTGCATTTTTTATCTGTTTTTCTATTACCTTTTTAAAAATCTTGCATCATCTTCAGTTTTGTTTTCAGCTTTCAGAGCATAAACTCACTGTGCTATTTAAGATACAAGTGTGTACATTCACACAGATTTTGCATCAGGTTTGTTAAAGACGAAGCCTGATACTGGCGAGATTTAAATGTGGCCCAAAATTATTCATTAAAAAAAGTTTTTTGATGCTACTGCATGTCTTTGCATTGTAAAATAAGAGGCTGTGATACTGGAGACTAACATAAAGATATTAAAGCTGTTCAGTGTACCCAATAAAAAAAATATCTTTGAGTAAAATTGAAGAAATGTTCTTTAAAAATGTATGTCCCTAGGAGACGTGTGATCACAACATGTAAGAGCGAGGTTTCACCATCATACCCTCTGCAGCTTATAATAGCTCCTCTTGCATCCTTAAGGAAACGTCTTTGAAGTGTGTTGTCTGCTCGAGAGCTTGTCTCCCGAGTTAATAAACTCAGGGATAGACTTCAGACGAAAGTAATATTGCTTTCACGTCGGCCCTGTCAAATATGTGTTCAGTCATGCAATCACAACGTGACCTGGTTCAGTGGCGTAACCTCACTGTCCGTCCGTCGTCTCTTTCTCTGCAGGTTACATCTTAGCTCTCGGGCCACTGATCTTTGTCAGCGTGTTTGATGTGTGGCTGGCAAAGTTTACCACCAGGCAGGCTTACATCGTCAACCTCGTGTCAGTGGGAGTGGTGGCCTTTGGATGTACAGGTACTACTAATAATACTTCTATACGTCTGTCTGTTTGTCTGTCTGTGTTTTTTTGTATTTTTTGTATTTTTCATTGTATTCTACCTGCTCAGCACCAAACAGCTAACAGACACAGTTTGCAACTAGCTGGTGAACATAGTGGAGCCTTTAGCAGCTAAAGGGCCAGATATTTTTCTCAGCAATTGGTTGAGACCAATAACAGAACTAAAACAGAGTGATTATTGGAGTAACATTCATCAGCTGGCCAGAAACACGACTCCAGATGAAAGCTGATGTGTTTGCTAACATAGTATTATAATGCAGTATGCCGATATTGTGTTTACAGCTTGCAGCCCTTAACTGGATAAAAAAATTATTATTGCAAAATGGCGCTGCTCCATTAAACTCTGCTCTTACAACTTCAACCCACTTCCACTGTACAAACCTATATATTTCGAAGCTCTCTGAAAACAGTCAAAAATCACAAGCTTTCAGAAAGGTCATAATTACTGTGGGTCTGTTAGACTTCAGAGAATAAGAATGCACTGCATTTTAAAATTGTTGATGATTTTCTGTCCACCTCCTGTATACACACATACGGAGTGTAATGCAAAATTTCAGAGCTCATGGTGCTCTAACTAATTATAGTATCTGTCAGAGTTATGAAATGAACAAGCTACAGAGTCCTCCTGCTGTTGATGACTTGCAGATACTGAGCAGTTTCCTTGTTGTTACTATGAGTGTGAACACAGAGCCTTTCTGCCAGCAGTAGCAACAGTTTGATTAGCGGAGGTCCAGAGGTCAGAGCGGCTTCTCTCGAGTGGCGTGTGGAGGTCCAGAAAGCTGTGTTTCTAAATAAATTGTGTTGTTACAGTGTTGACTGATGTGCACTGATAACCGCTCCCTCATCCCTCCTCAGTGCAGCAGTCCAGTTTCTATGGTTACATGGGGATGCTGCCCAAGAGGTACACGCAGGGGGTGATGACAGGAGAGAGTAAGTAAGCTCAAACAGACTATTAGTTGCACACACACATCCCTACTCTCATTCTCATCTCCTCCACCCTCTCTTTCTCTGTCTTCTTCTCCTCTATTCTCAACCATTTCTTAACTCGTCCCTCACCTGCTCTCCTGGTACTTTCCCTCTCAGGTACAGCAGGAGTGATCATCTCCCTGTCTCGCATCTTCACCAAGCTGCTGATCTCAGACGAGAGGAGGAACACGCTTATCTTCTTCCTCGTCTCCATCAGCATGGAGATGCTCTGCTTCCTGCTTCACCTGCTGGTCCGCCGCTCCCGATACGTCCGTTACTACACCAACCACGCCCAGGGCAAAGGCCCGGGCAAAGGTCATGACCCGCGTGACAGCGGGACGGGATACCGGGTTCACCATGATGTCACCGCAGAGGAAGTAAGATTTGTAAGTTTGTGGACAGTTTCTTGACTATATGTGAGTGAATATACGGAATGTTTATTTTTAGCCATTCTAGTAGCGTGGCTCTGTGGATGCCAACGTTGGTCCGTCAGTCAGTCGGTTGATTCACTACTTCACTCCAGACAAAAACTATTGGATGGATTGCCATGAAATTTATTACATACATTCAGGCCCTGTTTAGCATGAACTGTAATAACTTTAGTGATCCTTTAACTTTAATCTCGCACCATCATCAGGTCAAAATGTTAATTTGTCCAGTACTTTGGTTTATGACCAAATACCTGCAAAACTAATGACTCCCATCAGCCTCAGCTTTCTCTGTGTTTAGTTAGCACATGTTAGCACGCTAACACACCTAATTAATGTTGATGTTATACTAAGCACTACTGTGCCTACGTACAGCCTGAAAGAGCTGCAAGCATGATGATAGTTTTACTATATAGTAAAGTATATTTAAGTTCTAATTGTGAAATTTACGCTCTGTATAGTGCCTTCAACATATTCACAATGAAATGAAAAAAATGCATCCCTGACACATACCATACCTTCTGCTAACAATCCCACAATGCAACGCATGATGACTAACTGACCTTTACATGGGGAGAAGTGAACAAGGGCTTTGGTATGCAGCTAGTGTCTGCTTGTCATCTATCCATCCATTATATACAGTATACCGGCTCATCCTTTAAAGGGTTGCAGTGTTTATATTTTAGACATTTTACTTCAATTGTGATTTAGCAGGATTTTTCAAGTTAGATTGAGACTTCGACTCTTTGACTCCATGTGGAGTGGCAGCAGACTTTCTCATTAAAATTTCTTGTGCTTGTGTCATTCCTTCATAAATGTTGCAACAACAAACTGTTTGTGAACCAGGACGGGGAGGAAATGTCAGGCCTCAAACTGTGGTGTCATGCAACTCCATTTCCTTGTTGGTTTATGTGCCGTTTCAGTGCGGGTGTGCCCACAGCGTTTGAGGGCTGTGTGTGTTTTAAAATGCAGAATCATTTATTTAAGATGCGGACTGCTTTTTGGCTACCACTCAGAAAGAGAAAGATTGAGAGAGACAAAGAGAAAGGGATTTTGGGAGGGGTTATTAGGGTTGAGGTATGCAGGGAGTGGTGTGGGTGATGTAGGAAAAAAAGATGGAGACAGATGGGAGTTTTTGAAAGAAAGGGAGAGGTTGAGAGAAAATGCAAGGAAAAAATTTGGGAGAAAACTGTTGAGGCCAAGAGGCTAGATGGAGAAGGGGGGAGAGCGAGGGATCATCATAAAAATGAAAAACACAACTGAAGCAGAGCTTTGTAGCCTGAAGACGTGAAGCTAAAATTCCTCATCACCGTGTGTGCGTGTTCAGAGCCTTCAAAGGAAGACACATCACCTCAGGCTGTCATCTTTTCATGTATGTGTGTGTGTTTGTACGCAATTACACACAGTGTTTGAGGGATGTCCCCCCTGTATTTTACAGTCAAGTGTGTGTGTGTCTGGAGGCTGATTCAGGCAGCTCTTTGTTCTGTTTACCAGGGGAAACCAAGGCAGCGCTCTATATTATGAGATAATCAAGAAGAGTAGTGCCTTCTGGCCTGCAAGTCCCTCTAATCAACTAATGGATTATTGTGTGTGTGTGTGCATGCGTGCGTGTGTGTGTGTGTGCGTGTGCGCACGTGTGTGTGTCTATTGCTTGTGCACACCTGTGTGCCTGTGTGATATGCATATGAAAGTGTGTGTTTGGAAAGTACAACTAGAATGATGTCCCTATATGTTTGTATAAAGATAAAATGTGTGTGTGTGTGTGTGTGTGTATGTGTGTTTGGCTTATTTGCAGTCCAGTGTGTACTCTCTGTAACATCATTACGTCAACCTGCAGCCACTTACAGCCATCCTCTATAATAGCCACTGCCATAAAGAGCTGATGTCATGCAGTCAGGAAGCCATTACTAATTTTTTTAAAAACCCTGAAAAGATCAAACCACCCCAAGAGAATATGTTCATTTACTGTGTGATGGCTACCTCTAGTGTTTTCTTAATGAACTGTTAATGTGCTTCAAAAAGCCTTGACACTGTTTTCTGGAAATGAGAAACAGAATGACGATTCCCCGCTTGATTCGATCATTTGAAATCAAAGGGTTGATGTAATGTTGATGACTGGCCTTTTTCGGTCTGCCATCTGTCTGTTTTATTAAAAAGTCGCTCTGCGTGTCTCTCTTCAGGGAAATAGTGGAACAGGACCGTCTACTACAGAGGAAGGCATTGAGGACATTGTTGGTGGGATGTACGTGCGATTTGACGCCCCTACAGCCAAGATAAGGAAGAGCTGGCCCGGTGTCCGCGGTACTCTCTGTTTTAATCCCGTGCACTCACTGCTCAATTACCCTCTGACTCTAACAGATGGATTTGAAATTTAAATGCATTCCCCGGTGATTATTGGGAAGAGGAGGGTGTTCTTACTGAATTAACATGAGAGCATTAGGTTTTTAAACATCGCCTGTGTGTGTGTGTGTGTGTGTGTGTGTGTGTGTGTGTGTGTGTTTGTGTGTGCCTTCTCTAACCAGACATGATCTTGCATCGTTACGTGGTGTCCCGTGTGATCTGGGCCTACATGTTGTCTATAGCGGTGACCTACAGCATCACTCTGTGTCTGTTCCCCGGCCTGGAGTCAGAGATACGAAACCCAACCTTGGGGGAATGGCTCCCCATCCTCATCATGGCCACCTTCAACATGTCTGACTTTGTTGGCAAGGTGAGGTCACATGTTTTTTAAAACTGTAAAGGAGACTAAGAGATGTGGAGATGCTAGAAAAGATAATATAAATACAGTATCTCACAAAAGTGAGTACATCCCTCACATTTTTGTAAATATTTGATTCTTTTCTGTCTTTTCATGTGTCAACACTGAAGAAATGACACTTTGCTACAATGTAAAGTAGTGAGTGTACAGTTTGTACGCATAACAGTGTAAATTTGCTGTCCCCTCAAAATAACACATCACACAGCCATTTATGTCAAAATCGCTGGCAACAAAAGTGAGAACACCCCTAAGTGAAGAAGCGTCCCCACCTCTTCTGCTTATAAAGCTTAAATGCTGTGAGTGCAATGTAATGAATATTACTCAGATTTACAGTTTTGATTGGATTAACTTGATTTTGGTGGTTCGACAGTAAAAGGACACGGATTAGGGATCATTTTAGTGAATAACTCAAATTGAAATTGTAAAAGTGAGGTGGACATGCCCCCCATCCATGCCCAGAGGAAGTTATGCCCTTGCCCTCAAATATAAATACATTTTGATTAACTGGGATATCGTATCATAATTTTAACATTAACCTTGACTTTTGCATTCTGCCAAAATGTATCTGGTTCTTTGTAATCCCAGAAAATACTGGAATGACCCCCTTTCATTTCACAATCCCTGAGATTACAGGATTTAATTGTACATCTTCTTGGTGCTAAAGAAGCAGGAACAAGACAAAGTCACACTCTAACACTGGAGCTGACCTTGGAGTGAAATTGTTAGATGAGCGGCTCCATTTATTAAACCTGTGAGTAAGGATGGAAAAAAAGTCTGGTTTATTTTTGGATAATTGTACTTAGCTCAAAGGCTTTATCTGAACATTCAGAAATTAAACCTTATCTGGTGTGCTTAAGACATCATTTTGACTTTAAAGGGAAAAAGTTGGCTCTGATTGTTGCTTTGACTTTGTCCTTGTAGCATTTTGTTGAAATTGGGGGGGAAAAGAGAAGGAGGTGGATGAGAAATTAAATGGAAAATGGGAAAGGAAAATTAGAGGTGTTAGAGCATATAAGTAAAAGAGTGATGACAAGAAAGAGCAGAAATCTCTTTTTTGGATATTTTGATATACAGTCTATGATTTTGATTTATTGTTTAGTTCTCTGACAAGTGCCAGAAGCAGCAAGTAGACGAGGGACAGGGTCAAATGTTCAGAAAAGCGCATTTCCTTTTAAATTTTAATACTTTTCATAAGTTTCATAAAATTTCTGCCAACAAAGCAGAAGAGATTTTTACCCCCAGCATCACTGTAATACCCCCCCTCTTTCCTCAGATCCTGGCAGCGCTGCCGTACGACTGGTCTGGAGGCCGCCTGCTCTTCTTCTCCTGCCTGAGGGTGGTTTTCATCCCTCTGTTCGTCATGTGTGTGTACCCTGCGAACGCACCCACCCTGTCCCACCCTGCCTGGCCCTGTCTCTTCTCCCTCCTCATGGGAGTCACCAATGGCTACTTCGGTTCTGTGCCGATGATCCAGGCTGCTGGCAAAGTGCCGCCCGAACAGAGGGAGCTGGCAGGTAAGAGTTATTCAACTGCTGTTTGAATACATCATTTTGAGCTACTTTTTCTAATGTTTCACATACAAACACTTATACATTGCTCTAACAAATCATCAAGAGATCAATTCATCATTAGTTGCAATCCTATTAATTTTTAATTACTTTTTTCATTTGACATGCCTCCTACCCCTGCTGGTGCTGACATGCTAGAGATTCAGTGCACAGAAGAAATAACAGGTCATGTGATAAAAGTGTGGTTTTAAGTAATGTTTCACCACACAATGTGTGTATTAATGGAGAGAAAACAATACAAACAACCAGCACCTGGTAATCCCACAACGTATAATTTTTACACACAGTTTTTGTCAAACAAGATATAGTTAGTGAGCTATAGAGGTGCTGGTAGGTAGATTGTTATCTTTGGACAGAGCCAGGCTAGCCCCCATGTTTCATATGCTAAGCTAACTTACTGCTGGCTGTAACGTCATATTTAACATAAAGAAATGAGAGGGGCATTGTCTCTCTGAACTAACTCTCAGCAAGAAAGCAAATTAGCATATTTCCCTAACTGTCAAACAGAATTAAAATGAACAGCAACCCAGGATCACAAGATCATTTAGGTTTAAAGGTTTTACTACTGAAACAGACTGCAAAACATACATACAACAGGCTGGACTAAGATGGTGAACATCGTAAACATTATACAACATACAAACATCTGCACGTTAGCATAGTCACTGTAAGCATACTGACATTAGCATGTAGCTGAAAGGCACTCACAAAGCTGCTAACGTGGCTGTTACTGTCTTACATGCTACTCGTAGTCCCAGCGGTATCTCTTGTTCAAAAATACTACTCACTCTGGATAAGCTAGTTCTCTATTCCACACTCAGTCCAGACCCATTCTCTGCTGTCTCTGTGTTTCTCCAGGGAACACCATGACAGTCTCCTATATGACGGGCCTTATGGTGGGCTCCGCTGTGGCGTACGCAGCTTACAGCTTCACCGTTCCTGAATCAGGAACACGCATCTCCACACTCAACTTACACCCACCTGCAAACGCTACCGGGTATTGAATGTCCACACACCTGAATAAAACACACACACACACCAATGTAAACACACATACATGTACACACACCTGAAGCCATTTACACACATGAGGCCAGGAGAAGCAGCTCAGACTGATGGACTCGTGTCCTGCACCAGGGGACGAGAAGAACTCTTTAAAGAACTCTTTAAAGTTTATAATCGGAGAGATTAATTCTTGCTTCGATTTGGCTCTTTGGATAAATAAAGTGGAATAAGAGACAGAAAGTGGGATTGAGGCCCCATCCACACTACTCCGTTTTTATTTAAAAACTAAGTTTTAAAATGAAAACGATCTCTGTCCACACCAGTGTTTTAGCTGTGTATCAGAGTTGATCTCCGTCTATATTAACAGCTGAAAACACACATCTAGTGGCCGTTCACTCACACTGGGTGTGCATGTGACGGTGTAAACATGAAGCAGATAGCAGATGGTCTACTCCGTAGTTACAGAAGATTTGGCAAAAGAATAAAGAAATACAGACGAAGAACCACACCAGATAATTCTTATACATGGACCAACAACGAGCTGGATCTGTTACTGAATGTAACACGGGAATTAAAAGCAACTGTGGCGGCGGAAAACAGACTGGAAGTCGTTGCAAAGTAAATACGGTGAAATGCAGAGTACAAGTGTAGGCTATTCATAGTTTTCAGTCACGTGACATGCGCGGTGACCTGGAGGGCAAAACAACTGACTTACATAGTGGCTCACACCGCGACTACCCCCTACAGACGCTGCAAAAGCAGTCAAATTTTATTTGGATCACCTTTCAACTTAAAAAAAAGAAAGATATGAACACAAACTGTAAGTGTTGGACATATCCAATCCATGTAACGTTACAGCATCCGCTGACGCATTGCTACCATTAAAAAGCATCAGGTCCCTGCCGCCGCTTGACTGCGGTAATGTTTAGCCTACTTTTACTTTCTGAGCCTTGTCTCCTTCTCGATAAGTAAACAACCATCCAGCATTTCCAGCTACTCAAAGTAACAGTGTATCACTTGTTTACTGGTTGGCAGGCAGCGGAAAATAACGTATTTTTTGCCCTTCATGGGAGCATTTTCCTTGGAATGTGACCCCACGTGAAAATTATGAATAAAATATTTTAAGAAAAATACCAATTAAAAAACTCTGTCAGTGGCATCATGTTTTCTGCTTTGCATGACTTAAAAGACCCTATCAGAGATCTAAACGTGAGCGTCTGCATCATCGTTTCTAAAGTCCTTAATTTTTGCCCATCAGCACCAAAACACTACCTAGAGTTTTAAAACGAAAAACGGTGTCGGCAGCGTTTTCAAACTTTGCTGTTTAGGTCTTCGTTTTCGCCGTTTTAGTCTGAAGGTGCAAACGTAGCAAAAGGTCTCAGTTTTAAAACCAAAATGTAGTCGTGTGGATGGGGCCTTAGTAGTGGAAGAAATTATGTTAAACAGTGCAAACGTAGCAGGTTTCCCACTCTCTCAGCCTGCCCATCTGGTGACCTTCAAATGTGTCAGTTCTGCTGTTGTGAACTTTACTCTCGAGGTGAAGAACAGGAGCGCAGCCAGCCAACAGAAGCTCTTTGAGTGTCTCACAGTGAAATTATTGTCTGCATGTGTGTGCCAACAGACCGACTGACATTTGTACAGTGTAAAGCCAAGTGATGTTTTGCTGCAGGCAACGAAGGAGGAGATGTTGTGTCATAGGTCACTTATGTTTCATACATTTAATGATTTCTCAGAACTGTATTCAGAATAGAGAGATGCTGCCAGTGGGAATTCTTCTGGGCCAGTTGTTTCAGCTCTTTTCTTTCCTCTGCTGAATATATGATTGAGGCCTTTTGACAGTGAGTTCCATCCATAGTGATTTGATTCAGATGTTTGATTGAACTCGTCTGATTGCACCATTTAAAAACTATAAAACTATACAATAAAAGCAACTTACACAGAGCCACATTTAATTGACAGTGAAACAAAAGTCGGAGCGTGTTTAGCTCCTGAAATGTGACGTATTTGCGGTTATAGTGGAATCCTAACCACAATGTTGCTATGCTAGCTGCTACAACCCACTAGCTAATGGTCAAGTGTGGTTTTATATGATGGGCGTTGTTAGCGAGTCACCCAAAATCACATTTGCTTGGACACATTTATGTATATCATAATGTACAGGAAGGAAAGAAGAGGGCATTTGAATTACATGTATTTTGTCTATTAGGAGTGATTACTGAACAGTTCACATTTTTTATTTTACTGTGCCTTCAAAGGAATTATAGTTTTCCATTAATGACATGCATTGACAAATCACCAGTTCATCTTCAGCTTGTTCATCTCATTTGAACTGGAAAAGCTTCAGTTGTATTTAAGTATTAAGAACATTATTCTTATCAGTTTTACATAGTCTGAAAAGTAACTAATGGAAGAATAATCTTAAACATCATGTAGTTATAAAGATTATTTGCATTAGCAGCTGCTGTCCCGCATTGTTTTTATTTACAATAATGCTAAAAGAAGATGAGAATAATTTGATATCTGTGTGTTCAGTGACTTTCACATCACTTCTTGTGCCCTCTGATGGCTGGAAAGAGAACAAAATGTTGGTGTGAATTTACCGGACGTGGTGTGAAAAAAACACAGCCGTGTCTTGCAGTTGTTTTTTAAATAGTTAGTGTCAATCTGATCAGTGTTTGTGTGTAAAATCCATGTAATGATGTGATGGGATACTATGGGGAAACAAATTAGTGCCAAAATGTCTGATCACTGTTAGTAGCAAGAGAAAAGAGTTTATGTAATAAACAGTTTAACAGAATGAAAGTTCTAAATATATAGAATGAAATGCTCTCAAAAGCAGTGAATTTTATTGTACATTATTTTCATGTGAAAGCCTCTGGAAGATATGACATTCGTATTTTTGTAGAAGTGAGCACCTGTTTCCTTTATTTTTTCAACACAGCACTGAGCGGCCTCCCCAGAGCCTTAATTCCTCCACGTTTCCTGTTGGATTTGATGCATTTTTCAGCAAAGTTCAGAGTTAATACATTATGAAGAAAACAGGCCAGTCAGTGTGGAAAACCATGAAGTGCACTACATTATGTAGGTGAGCACTTGAATGGAGCCTAATGTCAGCGCTGGCTTAAGAATGGTAGAGTGCCATTTGGGAGTTAACCTCATTACTGTATGTATGTCCTGCCGTGCTGATGGTGCCATACAGCCTGCAGGCCTCTCTCCTCTCAGTGAGCTGCTGGGTTTGAAGGTGTTTTCAGTTATTTTTGGTCAGAAGTGTCATTAAAGGACATGAAGTCTCTTTACTTCTCTTTTTTTTCTCTCTCTTATAAAAGGCCATTTGAGAGAAGGGAGATCCCGCTTTCAAACAATTGCACCTTAAATCAATATTTTGGAATACTGGAATCAATATATTCCAGTCTTTATGCTACGCTAAACTAACCTCCTGCTGGCTCCAGACATGAATGTGGTATTTATCTTGGCAAGAAAGTGAATAAGTGTATTTCACAAAATGCCAAACTATTACTTTTAGATAAATAACTCACTGTGGTGGCAGATTATTTTACAGGCTTAATGACAGTTTGTTGTATAAAATAAGGAGCAAGCAAGTAAGATTTTCTAAACAGGTTATCTTATCATGAAAGTTTTTTAAACCAGCATAGTGATCTGCCAGTGCAAAAAACAAGTTTAAACTGCAGTGGAGAAAGTCCTTCAGTATTGAACCATAAAGAAATTTCGATCTGCTTAAAACAGACACTTTCAAACCCTATTAATGACCAACTGTAAGAAAGACTGTATGCACACTGGTGATGAATCATTCATCATTTCAGTACATACTTTTGGTGTTAGCTGACACTTTTATCCAGAATGACTTATGATGATGAGTTTAACAGAAAGAAAAGCACAGGGAGTGTAAAGGTGCTCTAACAAAATGTGTCAAGAAAACACCTGAAACAAGAGGCCGAAGGAATATTTGGATGGCATTCAATCTCCAGACGCATGCAAATAAACATCTTCTAATTCTGCACATTATCTCATCCTCAAGGTCTGGTATCTGTCCTGTCATGTGACTTCCTGTTTCTGCTTTTTACATCAGCAACAGTCTGTGATAACATTTATTTTCCTCCCTGCTGACAGCAAAGAATTTCTTCAGAAACCATGTCATGCTGACTATTTTAGACTGAACACTGAAGTGACTGCACACTGTGAAATAGCAGTAGGGTGTAAAAAGAATGCATACAGACACTACACTGTATATTATGTATATATCTAGATTCTACGATAACATACAATATTTTGCAGATGATATTTGTGAAAAAGTATAAGATCCTGACGTCCACGCTCATAATTAGGTGCAGTGAGCTAAATTTGGCCTTTTGGGGGGAGGAGGGGGAGGGGGTGTCTAATCAGCTTTTGATGTGCATATAACTAACTGAACAACCAAACAGACCACACACGCCTGGTTTCAGGAGTGGGAGGACAGTTATCTTTAGCTCTATTATATCAATATGAGACCTAAAGGTGGACCAGGATGTGGAGAAAATTCCGCTCTCAATGTTTAATTCTTAACACTGTTTATAACTTTGCGACTAATATCATCCCCCAAAACTTGCTAAGTTGTCGCAATATTCTACAATGATCTGAACTGAAATGTTGTTTTATTGTAAATATGTTCATGTTGATTTCAGTTTAAGATGCTGTATTTTCACAAAACAGTCTGTTTGTGCCCTGCATTGTACTGTCATCAGAGCTTAATAAAACAGTTGTTTATATCTTTGTGTGCTTCCTCCATTTATATGTGTTTTTACATGGAAGGAGAAAATGTTATTTTATTTTATTTTATTTTATTTTTTTTACATCTTACGATTTAGATCAGAGCTCCTTTTCTTTCTGTCAGGAAGAGGACAGGAAGCCACCACATTTAGGCAAGTCAGATTTGTCCTGTTTAAACAGCTGCGAGCAGAAACCTCAACAAAACCTCACATCTCACTCCATAATTTTTATCTGAATTTTTGTCTTTTTTTCAACATGGATTCTCATCCTCTGTGCCATGATAGCAAGCGTTTGCTAGAATCTAAAAGTCTTCCAGCTGGAGGAGGCTGACCTACTGCTGTGGAGGGCGCAAGAGAAATGTGAATTCATCCTGCGGGGATCAATAAGTGAAATCTGTATTGACTGCTTCTATCCAGCAGAGAGAGCTGCAGCTTAGAGAGAGCAACATCAAGGACTGTGCTGTACAAGGAGTTCAGGTCCAAATGGATAGTGCTGTAGAGCATTTGTATCACAAATCAGAGGTTGTGTCTTTATTTAGCTTGCCATCTGTGTCACAGAGCCCTGGAGAATCACAGAAAGAGGTTCTCGTAAAGGGAAACTCTCCTTTTGGTGACCACTGACCTCTCTGTGGCAGGACAGCGTCTCACACACAACCATACAAGGTCGGACAGAGGAGGAAATCATTCAGACCAGTAACATATTCAATCTTGTGCTCATAGTGTTATGGAGGTCAAAAATGTTCAGGTGGAGCTCTTTTCTGTGTGTGCGCATGAATCTATGAATATCTGGGTGCATGCAGGCTTGCATGTGTGTGTGTGTGCTAATTTTGGACGTGGCTGCAGGGAAAGAAAGTCTCTGGCGTGTGACAGAGCAACTGATCATTAGTCATTCTGTTCCACATACTGTGGAATGGAAGAGAGGAGGAGTAGTATGATGGAGGAGATAGAAGAAGGCAGAAAGGGAGTGGAAGGGTATGAGAAGTCTGTTCTCCACACTGTGTCTAAGTTTGAATGGTGCTGTGTTTTAAAGGTCAGTATATGCTCTGCAAATGGCAACGCCTTGGACTGAACAAATGAGGATACTATTGTTAGTGCTCTTAGATTAATAAACCCATTCCCAAACAAAACAACTGCTCCTTTTCACAAATCAGATACTAGATTTATCTATGTGTGTAACCATCTGTTTTCTGGCATGAATATGTTTCACTTTGAGCCATAAAGCAATTCAGGATGCAGCACCAATCTTCTCTGCAATAAGCTTGTTTGTCTGGATAAATAAGGGCCACGTATTGATGTGAAAATGCTACATGTGGTGTTTTCACATCATTAAAAATGGCTCCTCTTCCTCTTTACTGTCTCTGTGGCGCGGATCAAACCCTATTAAAGGAAGTAACAGAGAGTACTATGGGGAAGACATATTTGTAAAAACCATGACACATTTGAAAATGACATATGAAACTGTTGGACATCTTATCATATCACTATCTCAAATGTATTTTAGGAAACACACATAATATAATTTCAACAAAACCTGAATCAATGGATGAGTCATTTGAAGTCGTAAGACTGTGTCTATTTTTCCAGTTACTTACAGTTATGCTGGGTATTTTCAGAGAGAGGTCAGAGGCCCCATTAAAAAATTAACCATATATATATAAATATAGGCATAGGTGTCATTTACACTGAGGACACTGAGGACATGTCCCCACCACTTTTTGAAATGGCTGATTTTATCCCCATCAGTTTTTACAAGCATATGTTAAAAATATTCTGAAAAATAGCTTGCCACAAGAAATGTTAAATAACAAATGTAAATATAGAAGTAACAAATGTGAATTGTCCATAAAAGCAACATAAGATAAAATAAGCTGCTGCATTATTTACCTCAACCACAGTCAGTCAGACTGCTGAATAGCTGGCCATTCAGAATCTGACTTTGTTTCTGAACTCTGCTACTATATGTACTGTATACATGTATAGGAGTATATATATGTACATATGTGTATATATGCATTCATGTGTATTTATCTGTGTATAAATATGTGTCCCTGCTGCTATATTATAACATTCACCTTTTATTTATCTACCGTGGTGTGAAAAAGTGTTTGCCCCCTTCCTGATTTCTTGCTTTTTTTTTGCATGTTTGTCACACTGAAATTTTTCAGATCAACAAACAAATTGAAACATTAGGCAAAGATAACAAAACACAAAATGCAATTTTTAAATGAAGGTTTTTGTTATTAAGGGAAAAAAAGATCCAAACCTACATCGCCTCGTTAAAACATTTCTCTAGCCACACCGAGGCCTGATTACTGCCACACCTGTTCTCAATCAAGAAATCACTTAAATAGGACCTGTCTGACAAAGTGAAGTAGAACAAAAGATCCTCAAAAGATAGACATCATACTGCAATCCAAAAAAAAATCCATGCCGACTGAAAGCGTAATTGAGATTTATCAGT